AAATATATTAGGAAAGCTATATATATATTCTATACATTAGTTTAAAACACATTTTCGGGTGCTTTTACAGCATGTTACGTCGCTCTCGGTAACAGTAAACTCCTTTTATACAGCCTGCAGATTGACAGGCTTGGGACAGGCTGAATTTGAGTGAGGTTTTCGGTACACGATTAAAATTATTATTAAGGGCAAGGTGCCATGATGTTTGAGAAGTTCAATGGTGATTATTATTATTGAAGAATTGTCCAATTTTCTGGTTGCCCAATCATGTAATTTAGAAGTTCATGAATCAGACGGAAGACATTTTAGATAAGGGAATTCTTAGAATAAAACTGTGGATCATATCTGGAGATAATTTCAGACATGTTAAAAGAAAAAAAATCTAATCAAGAGAAGGTGCTTGGGTAATTCTGCAGCAGACTATTTTAGCTTCAATATCAAATCATCATTTTCAAGCAGATAGTCAGATAGCCTTAATAGTCAGATAACATTAATATTTGACCCTTTGGGATTTTGTCACCATTTACACTAAAGGCTTAAAATAATAATTAGAGAATCCACAACCTGAAGGGGACTGGCTGCAAAAGAAAAGCTAGGAAGGGATGACCCAATGTCACAGCCAAAGAGAGAACAGTGGAAGATATATTTCAAAGAATTGCATGAAGTTGAACAGATACGTTTCCCTCGATGCGTAAAACCAACAAATGCTGTAAGTAACCCAGGGTTGATTATATTTAGTGATGCAAGCAGTGTAGCAGTGGGCTGTTGTGATTGTATAAGGTGGGAGCTGTCCACTGGACAATTCATAACTAAATTATTAGCTGCAAAAAACAAGCTGACCCCCTCAAAACTCCCAGTTTACCCGGATTGGAATTGTGTGGAACAGTGATGGCGTGTAGAAATTCATTGAAAAGAGTTTTCAGTTTGAGTTTGTGAAATTGCTAACGGATTCCTCCATAGTGAGATGACTCATTAAGATTAAATTCTTATATAGCTGGGAGGATTTCAGAAATACAAAGCAAAATTAAAGAAGATGAGTGAGCACAGTCCAGCAGATATAATAACTCAGGGTGTAGAATTGGTTTTGGCAAAAGGCACCTAAATACATGACTTTTTCCGTGAATGAATGGCCTCTTAATCGCGAATATAGTTTGGAAGTTCCACATGGGGCATACAGACAGGCTACAATAAAGGCTTTGCATATTGTTGATAGTATTATTGAGGTTAACAAATTTGGAAGCTATAATAAACTATTCAGGATCATAGCTAGAATACTGAAAACATGTAGAAATAAATCTTTACTGGAAATTAATAAAGATATTGAAGCAAGTGACAGTCAAGAGGCTTTAATTTACTGGATCAACATTGTGCAGGAAGGTCTACCTCCTGATTGGAAATCGAGCTATAATAAACTGAGACCATCAACTGATAAAATAGGAATTGTTGTAGTGGGAAGTAGGTTGCCATCACGGTTGCTTTCTAATTAGAACCGTAACCAACTCGTCCTTTTATTGCTAGATCACCCATTTACAACTTCATATATAAGGTACGTACACAATATAGATCATGGAGGTATTGAAAGTACTCTAGTAACCCAGACTAAATTATGGGTTCCATATAAAGTCAATTAAAACAAAGTGCATAATGTGCAGAAAGCCTGAAAAGAGATTATAGGGCAATGCAGGAGCAGCCTTCCTAATGAAAAGCTTAAACCTGCTTCCCCTTTTTATAATACTGTTGTGGATATAATTAGACCTTTCTTTATAAAAAGATGCTGTAAAAAGAAGATCAAAGGAAAGATTTGCAGAGTTGTATTTAATTGCCTAGTGAGTAGGGCTGTGTACATAGATTTGGTCCAATTGGTCTTTTACAATGAAGATTTCCAAAAGCTATGTGCTCAGATGGAGGTACTCAACTAATGACCACAAACAATAAGTTGAAATCACCGATGGAAATATGGAACAAATCTGATATAATTCAGTTTAGTAGTGATCAAGGAATGACCTGGTATTTTAATAAATGCCAGATGCCCCATAGCAAAATGGATGAGTCCTTGATAAGATTGATTAAAAGAGCATTACGTCCATCAGTTGGTGTAAGTACACTTCGGACGGCATTCTTTGAGGTTGCCAACTTATTGAATTCTCAACTATTTGAAATTAAATCTCGAAGTGACATTACTCTAGGAATGTATTTGTCTCAGTGATCTTCTCGGAAGATCTAACATTGAAGCCCCAATAGGAATCTGGAATCAAACAGAGAATTTTAGAAAAAAAAAGAATTAATTACATTCAAGCTATTGTAGTATCCTTATGGAAGAAATGGCAAAGGGACTTTTTCCCAACCTTGATCGTTCTGGCATTGTGAGAAGCGAAATTTTCAAGTAGGTGATACAGTATTGATGCAAGATTGTAATGCAGCCAAAGGAGTGTGGAGGTTAACTGAACTCGTCAAGATGATTGGGGGCATAATGTTAGTTTAAGGTATAAATTACAAAAGATGGCTTTAAAGTATACTAAGTATACTGGAGCATGTGACTATATTGTGAAGTGGTCGGCTCTGAAAATAGTGGGGATTTTGCCAAATGAGGGACAAACCAATCAAGTGTGATTTTTCTTTTCTTTTCTTGTAGGTGGTGGGAGTGTATTATCATAGACAATAATAGTAAATTATATGTGCGTATTATAAAATACTTGAATTCATGTTGTTAAATTGTATTAATTTTTGAAAACTATATATTTTTGTGATACTGATATGATAAGGAAAATTTATAGAATTTAAGTTCTGATGAAAATACATTCTTTAGATTTAAAAGCGTTGTCCATTGAAAATTGAAAAACTGTCAGATTTTGCTGATTTGTAAATATTAGGTAGGAATATATTTTATTACTGAGTGTTTTTTTTATAATCTGAATCCATGCTTTAGTATAACAGTAGATATATATTGATGAAATTTAAATACTAATGTCTTGGATTTGACTAGGGTTATGTCATTGTGCAAAATGTAAGCACAGCTTATATGGCGAATGCATTGTGTTCCTGCTGACTGACAGACTTGAGACAGGCTGAATTTGAGGTAGATTGGTAGTACATAATTAAAATATCTGCAATGATGATTATTATTATTGAAGAATTGCCCAAGTTTTATGTTGCTCTGTCATTTAATCTTTTCTATGGTTTCATTGTTATGGAATTTATTGCCATTATTCTACTCATGGAGTGTTTCGAACCATCCCTGATTGTTGAGAGTTGAGTGATACAGTTACAAAGTGTCTGAACCAGTCAAGCAACCCAGTAGCCATTGGCCAGGATTGCATCATCTCTCTGTCCTGACTCCTGTTCCTGTATATATCATGTTATAGCATGGCCGGATTTGTGCCACTGTGTGGTAGTTTGGGTGTTACAGCCACTCATTCCTGAGCTAACTGCAGGAGTGTAGAGTGTAGAGATGTCACTGTATCTGGTTGGGAAGAGTGATTCAGTGTGGGAACATTTTAACAGAATTCCTTCAAAGTTAGGGAATGGATGGAGAGCTATATGCAAACTGTAAACTTGAGTTACAAGAAATAGTAGCAAGAATGAAATGTCAGCAGCTACAAATTGAATTATCAGAGGAGCATTTTGGTGATCCAGGCAAGACTGAAAATCTGACTCCCAAGGTGCCCCTCAAAGAAGTGTTGCAACTCCAAAGAACGTCCAACTTCTGCCACAAGTTTTTTAATGTGTAAAGCAACAACTTTGGACACATTTGTTACAAACACTTTATGAAAAAGCAAAGATGGTCTTTGCAACCAACTCTTTATATCCAGATTGGTAGAACATCCTCGGTTTTGTAAAATGGTTGGGAAGTTAAGGTCAGGATACACACGTTTTTTTAATTGTTTACAGTTAAAATTATATAGAAAAAAGCCGGATGCGGATGATCTCAAAACGATGACGGAGAGCGAACTGAAGGTCAAACGGGGTCAGCTATCTATCTATGTATATATATATGTGTGTGTGTGTGTGTGTGTGTGTGTGTGTGTGTGTGTGTGTGTGTGTGTGTGTGTGTGTGTGTGTGCTTGTATCTATATATATAGATAGATAGAGAGAGAGAGATAAATAAATATTTCTATAGATTGATATGGATATAGATATAGATTAATAGATAGACAGATAGATAGATAGATATAGGTGTATAGATAGATATATATAGGTATATTGATAGATAAATAGATAGATAGATATAGATATAAATATAGATGTATATCTGTGTGTAAGCGTGCTGCGCGCAGAGTCCGATAACCTGATAAGGGACACTCAGTCATAACAAAGGGCCAGTTATAATGTCCGATATCAAATGTAACAATAAGACCACTTGAAACAAAACACGAGCGACAGAAAGAAAAGAAAAACCATATTTGCGTATATAATTATATAATGGTTGTAGCCCTAAATTAGATATGCAACAATCAACACTAACGTTGTCAATCTTGCTTATCTGTTTAGGAGTTGTCTTTGCAATATCTCTCATTTTTCTGTCTCTTGTCTCAGCCTCTTTCATTTTGTATTTGTCGTGTCTCTAGTGCAGGGGTTCTCAACTTTTTTTTATTCCTTTGTGTATATTAATCATAATGAAAGGTTCCTCTGATCTCTAAATAATAAGGGTCTGGAATTTGTTTTATATCATTAGATTATCAAATTTGTATTATATAGTACACGGTAGAATAAAACAAAAGAGGGAGGAGAACTCTTTATCAGCCACAATGAGAGTGTTTTACACGACTTATAATGCACACTGCTATGTACACTGTATGGCAGTATAAATCTTGGTTGCACGTTTCAGATCTTTATATTCCCTGCAAAGGTAACCCTGGAGGTACATTTCCCTCGTGCAATAAAAAAAAGCTGTTGCTGTGTCTTCAGACTGAAATGCTGAAATACTTTAAGAAGATCATTTCTGAGACAATTACAAAAAAATACAATTATTTCATGTGTATAATGTGCAATAAAAACTGACGAAGCAGCAACTCCCGCAGCCTCCGAGGCGGGAAGGTCATCGCCGCGCGCCGCAGCCCTCGCCCACTGCTCGCGGGCTCCCAGTCATGGCAGCACAGGTTCCGAAGCTCGCCCTCAACAACGGGAAGAACATTCCCATCCTGGGCCTCGGCACTTGGAAGGTAATGTATTTTGACGGATAATATTATGTATTATGACTGGGTGTTTTATGTGAAATGATTTGGATTTGGCGGCCTCTGTTATTTGGCGAGTTGTGGGGATTTTCGTGGAAGGTTACTACCAAAAGACGCCAATTTAAAAAGTACTGAAACTTGTCATACTTAATTCTGGCAACATCCTTCTTGTATAATAAATTTTAGAAGATTATGAAACGCCAATATCGCAACTGCTAAATCCACATAAACCACATTAGGCAACGGCGGCACTTAATCCCCAAGCATGTTTGATTACACGTCCCCAGCACCTGCGGGAAACACAACTTCAGAGTCTCAAGGTCTTCTTGGATTTATAGTTATCACCGAAATTCAAACAGGGAGAACAAGAAGAGAGTTATCGTTTTTTTTTAAATTTCTTTTCATAATTTCCATTTTATAAGAGAGATCAGAGAATATATCTCGTCTCATTATATGATGTACATTCAACAGGAACTCCTTATGTTGGCTCATAACACAGAATATGCAGCTTAAAGTCAATAGAAGTCTCTCTCCGATACTGCAACATGCAAGACACAATGCTAGAAGTAGGTGTGCATAGGAACACAAAACGATTGATTTTCCATGATGCCTAACGTGATAGAGGCGTTGTTACTTGTCATAGTGATCGATCAATTCGATTATGCTTTTGCCTTGCTATGCAAAGGATGTACTGATGAAAAGACCTGCTCTTATCACTGGCTTATCAGTCGCTGATGCTGTATCCAAGGTTGTTTTTCTTGATAATGGATATAACAGTATTTGTAGTGACATATCTGTTGTGTTTTAGTGCAAGATATTTTTTCTCTTGAGACATGAGTCAGAACTAAGTATTTACGACATAAAATGCTTACTACGGATAATTTGCAAAGAGAACGGTTAAATCAGAAACTAAAGAATCAGTACCGACTGCTTTGGAGATAGTAAGGATGCATTACTTCATAGCAGCTAGATGTACAAGATCATTTATCTGATGTATAAATAGTTTTGTTGTAATATGCAAGTATATATACAATCACACACGCATGCATGCACATACACGCACGCATGGCACACATACACACACACACACGCACGCACGCACGCACGCACGCACACACACAGACACACACACACACACGCACACACACACACACACACAAACACACACACACACACGCACGCACGCACACGCGCACACAAACACACACACACACACACACACACACACACACACAAAACACAAACACACAAACACACATATACATACATACATACATACATATACACAGAAACACATTCATTTATATAATTCTATACGTGAGGTTCAGGCGTCTGGCATTTTAGAATGTGCATCGGGTGATGACTGAGAAGGTGTTACTCGCTTGATTAAAAGGCTTTGGATTTGAAATTAAGCCTAACCTAGTTCCCGAAAGAGAGGGCCATGAGAAACTTCACTGTGAATACAAGCTGTTCCCGGATTCACCAGGGTACTCTAAATCTGGCACCTTTTGACTTTTAAAGACTGATTTATTTAAAGTTAACTGCCAATATTCGTATAGGTTCTTTGGAATAAAAAGATAGTAATCCATAACTGCGATATTACTACAAGATTAGGCTTCCTGTCACCTCTTATCGTAAGAGAGAAATGATAGGCACTCGTGTGAGAATCTGTGAAGTGATAAACACCTGTGTCTCTATTAAGCAATGGAAGGTTTTTATCTCCTGTTGCTGTAAGCCTTAACAAGGGCGATAATATGATGTAGAGATGATTATGAAGGATGGAGTTCTTTTCCATTTTACTTTTAATATCATTCTGAATTCCAGATAGACCTATATTGGTAAAAGTATTAAAAAATATATATATCCGTTGATACGACTGAATCTTTAGTCCATTCCAGACGAATCAAGTGTTTGCCCTCCGTGGTGGACGCGTCATTATTAGCCGCGTCATTATTACAAATAAACCATTGGCGTCTATGAATGCTAGCACCGTGTCGAGCACGGCAAATCGCCGTTCACGGCCTCCATGGTCATCTTTTCAGCATGATGCAGCATTTTATCGAACATAAAGCTTAACGTTCCTGGTTTGAATATAACCATGCCTCGATCACTTTTCAGCACGACGCAGCCGTTTGTCCTCCATTGCATATTGATGCCTCTGACAATGCTTTTATAAGTACTTATGCAGACCTTGGTTGCTGACAAACGCCTATGAAATTCGTGAAATCAACGGCATCCGGAGGCGAACAGCAAAACTTCCTTCAGAAATGGGGTCAGCAAAGTTCGTTATCGAGATCCGTGACACTAATCTATTTCTCTTACATTTCCTCCTCAGTCGAAGCCCGGCGAAGTCACCGAGGCTGTGAAAGAGGCCATTGCGTGTGGGTATCGCCACATCGACTGCGCCCTCGCCTACAGCAATGAGGCCGAGGTCGGGGCGGCGATCAAGGCCAAGATCGAGGACGGGACAGTCAAGCGCGAAGACCTGTTCATCACGAGCAAGGTAAGAACGGCTTTGAGGATGTAAACACACACGCACGCGCGCGCGCTCTCTCACACACACACGCGCATATATATATATATATATATATATATATATATATATATACATATATATATAAATATATATATATATATATATATATATATATATATATATATATATATATATATATATATATATACAATAATTAATTGATTTAATTTTACTTCACAT